TGTGAAGGTTTACGACCACCAATATTACCAGGAATGCCTGATGATTGTGTACAAATGATGCAGAAGTGTTGGGATGGAGATCCATCTAAAAGACCAACTATCAGAGAGCTTTGTGACTTTTCTGGTAGTCAACTACAAGAAATTATCAACAATAATAGTGATAATAATAGTAGTGGTAGTGGTGGTGGTGGTGGTGGTGGTGGTAGTAGTAGTAATTCACAAAGTGTTCACAAATCACATCCATTAGCATATCATTCGAGTAGAATTTTAAATTTAAATGATGAAATTGCTAAATTGAATTTAAGTAATGATAGCTTATTAAATTATGAAATATAATTTAATAGGGAAAATTAAATAGTTGATTTAATTACAATGATAATCGTAATAATAATAATAACAATAAGTAGTCGATAAGGTTAAAGTTGAATAATTGTCGGGTAGATAGATAATCACCATTTATTAATTATTTTCATTATTTTTCATATGTGAAATTAGATTTTGTTTGCTATGCGTGTGTAAATGCATCCTATGTGCAAGACTTTTAATATGCACCTAGTTGCAAAAAAAATCATTTTTTAATAAATTTGCCCTTAAAAATTTTGTTAGTAATCATGAATGAAATTGGCCTTTCAAGTAATTCTGAAAGCAAAAGCGAATTTATACCAATCACCACGTTTTTAGTGAACATTCCTGAAGATAGTAATGTTACTGAGAAGGAGAAGGAGAATGAGAACAAGAAGCTAGATGTTGAAGCTAATTTAAATTAGATTTTAGTATGCATTTCCAATTTGGAAGTTAGTATTAAGGACATTGAACAAATCGGCACAACAACTAGGATTTAAGTTTAGAAAGGATAGATCAGAAAATTTTTGAAAATGAAATATGAAAACAAACTCTTGTTTGTAGTTGTGATGTTACCAATAAAAAAAGAAGTAGGATCAAACCATCTAAATCATCATAATTGGCATTTAAATATTTCACATCTTATTGGAAAGATCCTTCTGCAAGAAAATTTGAACATTTACCTAGCTTATATTGAATATATGTGTGTATATGGACATTTAAAACCTCTTGCAATAACAAGTTGCATATTAAAATTCGTGTGCATTGCTTACGAAAATTAAAAAATAAAGTATACAAAATTGTTTAAATTTTATTGTTGTGCAGGTGCGCAGAAAACAAAGACCTTATTCAAAAATAATTATTAATAGATAAAAGTGTCATTAATTTCGACTTATTATTATTGTTTGATTTCATGAAATCCAAATAGGTTTCACCCAACAACCCTATAGGCCTTTAATATTGAAGTCTTTTTCATTGCTGCCACCAAGCCTTTTCGTCACTTAGTTTGTATAAAATATTTAATTACAAATAAAAAAAAATGTTGTTGATGCTTTAATAATATATATTATTTTGATTTTTTTATTGGCTGATGGGCTTCGACGTTGCTACTACCAATCGAGGTTTCGACGTTTCGCGAAATCCAAATAGGTGGAGACTTTAATTATCATCTTTATTGCTATAAAAGTTTAAATTTATATTTGATATCTCTGATAGTGATGTTAGCCGGTAGAAAAGCCTTGGCCGGCTAAGCCGGCTAAGAACTTGAATAAATTTTTTATCTAATAATTTATAAGACAAATATCATACTTTGTATAAATTCACTAAAAATCGGGGTTTTTTTATTATTTTACTATATAAATGTTGTGCGTGAAATTTAAATTGGCCAATCAGAAATTTGTATCCAAAACTGTTGATGAATATGGTAAAAAATTCTAGCCAGCTAACATTTGAATCAAATGAATTATTTATTCTTATTGAGAAATTCAATTAAAACATAATAAAAAATCGATTAATAATCAAATGTTTCATTATTATTAATACTATTATTATCATTACTATTATTATTATCATTGCTGCGATTATTACTACTACTGCTACTAATACAATTATTAATGTTGCTACTACCACTACTACTAATACTATTAATATTACTACTGTTATTAAACCATTGTTAATATTGTTATGCAATGACCCACCAGACCAAGAATTTGCTTTGCTACGAATGTTGGAACTAATTAATTGCTTACTTTGTGGATTAGTTTTCTTTTTCTTTTTTGGCGGCATTACGAATGAATGAATATTTTTTATTATTTTTGAGAATAGAATTTGATTGGCTCAGGCCGGCTAAGCCGTTTAAAAATTTCTTAGCCGGCTAACATCACTAGTCAAAATCAAGGTTTTTTCTTATCCAGATCACCCACTATCTTTCTCAAATGGTCAAAATCCAAAAAAAAAAATTTAATTCAACACGAACAATCAAAAAAATCTGCATATATTGTTTGTTTATTGATCATTTTTTTTTTAAATTGACAACGAAATAAAACGTTTTTGAACCCTGGTCTCGTGACCAGAAAATGTCACTAACATGTTGTGTGACAAGGTTCCAAGACAAGACCATCAGTTTTTGGTCATTTTGAACGGTCTGAAACGTCGGAGAAAGACGAAGACCTAACGGTAGACAGCGGTCGACACCACGCAAGAAACATCTAAAACGAAACACGATTTCCTTTCAGTCAAATATCTGTTTCGCTCAACCCTAACGTTTTGAACCAAAACAGATAACGGTACTGTGACGTAAAATAACCATAACCGTTTATCATTTTTTTGGAAAACGAAAATATTTCTGTTCAAATTTCAATTATTATTTATTAATTAACAAAATTTCAAATCATTTTGCAAATCATTTCAAGCCAGCGCGGCAAAGAAAAAAAACGAATCACTAAAAGAAATTTTCTTTTTAATGATTATAATTATTGTTAAGAAATACTACTAGTAGTATTACCATTATTGATATTACTGCCTTTATTTAATGAATCAGAAAAAGAATTCTCATTATTTTATTTAAATTTATCAAATATTACATAGAAAAATTGTTGTTAGGTTAAATAGTATAGTAAGATAATGAATAATTAATATTATACATGAAGTTGAAATTAAAACCCCAAAGTTGAAATGTTTTGACTTAAGGCAGCTACATAGTAAAATCAGTTTCAACCTTATTTTGACCCTATTTTGAAATGGATTGAAATAATTTCAACTTCATGTATAATTAATATAATTAATTAATTTGAAAACTTCTAATTCATCAAATATACTATTGCCTACTATATTGATATTAACATAACTTGATGGTGTGCCATGAATATGATCTTCTTGAAAGTAAATATCACAACCACCAAAACCACTACCAAAACCTGGTAAACAATTTGGATGACAATAAATTGCATGTTGACGCTTGTTATTAATAACATAACTAAATTTTGCAGTATTAATATTATTTTTATTACTTATATTAAATATAAAACTTTCAGTTGTATTTTTATCAATCACATTTTCATTCCAATTGAGGGGATTATAACCACCAATTATTTGATCTGAATTTTGTATTTTGGCAACTACAAGAGTTTTGTTGATACTATCACATTTTTGATGAAATATAACTGGATTTAAACCATCTCTACTACTCTGATACAAAAGTTTGAATTTATATTTGACCTCCCTGAATGAACTATATGGTGGGTTTTTTCTATCAATCCAACTTGCAAAAAGCAAAGTAAGATTTTGATTGATTGTCAACGATTCAAGTGTTGAATTCAATTTTGAAATTCTTGATGATAATAAATTTAATTTTTGTTGTTTATCTGGAAGTAAATAATAATGTGAAATATCCTTCCATAAAACCTTAGGGAAAAGCATTTGATATGGCATGAAAAAATCCTCTCTAGAAATATCCTGAAATCTTATCAGAGAAAAGAATTCTTTTAATGTGTTGCCTAAATCAACAAAATTTTGTGATGACCAATCATCAACATTATTATTATTATTGATTTCAGGATGTTTTGCCAATCCCCATTTAATAATGTTTTCCCAAATATCTATTTCATCAACAGAAAAATCATCTCTTTTGAGAATTTCCAATAGAATTGGTTTTTCCAATGATTTAAATTCCCTTGATTTGAATAATTTTTCACTATAATCACAAACCTTTTCTAAATAGATATTTTTTAATTCTTTAAATTTTTCATTAGCATAAATCAGTTGTAGAATTTTAACTGGATTTTCTTTTATATGATCATCATAATTTTCAATGAAATATTTCATCATATATTCATAAAGTGATTCAATACCAAGTTCATCTGCTGAAGTTAATAGTTCTAATATTTCATCTCCAGAATAATTATCAAATTCAAATTTACATGTGTATAAAAATCTTAAATAAGAAATTATTAAACAGATTATTATTATTATAATATACATTCAAATAAACAATTCAATATAATAATAAATTTATTTAAACTTACTTGAGAATAGGATTGAAACATTTTTCACTAATATTAACTTTCTTAATATATAATATCCATTTTCTTTTGTTGCATTGCTTAACACATTGCCAAAGAATGGACAATGAGCTGATATGATAGATGCATGTGCATGAACTTCTTTAATGTTTGGTTCTACACCAACATATATTTTTACATCATAAAATCTTCTGTATTTAATAATCTTTCATTTTCATTAAAATATTTTTCAAATATCAAATTTATTTTTAATTTTTTCAAAAAAAAAAGGCAAAAAAAAAGGGAATCTTTAAATAGTACCCCAAAATTTCAGTATATTAGTACAGATCATCTATAATCAATTTATTAACAAGTTTACCAATGAGAGTTTTTTGCTTTTTTACTAGTGATGTTAGCCGGTAGAAAAATCTTAGCCGGCTAAGAACTTGAATAAATTTTTTATCTAATAATTTAGTAGACAAATATCATACTTTGTATGAATTCACTAAAAATCGGGGGTTTTATTATTTTACTAAACGTTGTACGTGAAATTTAAATTGGCCAATCAGAAATTTGTATCCAAAAATAAATAAAATCACTGCTGATGAATATGGTAAAAAATTCTAGCCAGCTAACATTTGATCAAATGAATTATTTATTCTTATTGAAAAATTCAATTAAAACATAATAAAAAATCAATTAATATAAAAATTAAAAAAATTAACCAACTTATTGATCAAAAAGTTTATAATTTTCTCTCAAAAACAGTATATTATGAAAATTATTTTGGTTCAATCTATTTCTTTTTTTTGTGAAGACATTACCAGCTGAGGAAAACAACCTCTCAGATGGAACAGAGGTTGCTGGTATAGCTAAATAAACCCTAGCTTGAACTGCTAGATTTGGTAGGACTACTTTTTTCTAGAAGTACCAGTCAATACATTAGAAAAAAAAGAATTGAAGTTTACACTAATACCTTCTTCATATAATTTTTTTCTATTAAAAAACTCTTCGCCAGTTATTGATCCATTTATCCAATCAAAGTCACTTTCATCGTATAATTGTTCACCATTATTTAATTGTTCAACATCACTATTATTATTAATATTGCCATCATCATCACTACTATTATTAATAATACCATTACTACCATTAATATTAATACTATTATTATCATTACTATTATTATTATCATTGCTGCGATTATTACTACTACTGCTACTAAAACAATTATTAATGTTGCTACTACCACTACTATTAATACTATTAATATTACTACTGTTATTTAACCCATTGTAATATTTTTATGCAAGACCAAGAATTTGCTTTGCTACAAGTGTTGAACTAATTAATTGCTTATTTTGTAGATTAGTTTTCTTTTTCTTTTTTGGCAGCATTACAAATGAATGAATATTGAGAATAGAATTGATTGGCTCAAGCCGGCTAAGCTGATAAATTTCTTAACCAGCTAATATCACTAGTTAACAGCTAATTTAAGGATCAAAACATGGATAGGTTGAACCACAAAATTTGAGACAGTTGATCCCTAAGTTTTATCCTCTAGCTGGCTAACCACAAATTTTTCGATCCCTGAAATTTCTTTGTTCACTTGTCTGGTTTTGTTGCAGTTAATTCTAATTTTCTAATTGCAATACGTGATTATCCAAAAATTTTTATAAATAAATAAATGTTTACTTTATGCACATACGTACAGAAAAAACTGATTTTTGAAAATGAATATACAGTTAAAACAACTTGCAGATAAATCTAGAAAAACTGTAAATTCCATTATAAAAAATGATCTTCCCCCTATAGAAAGGAACTTGGAACAAATTGAGAAACAATCGCGTAAACTTGCCGATAGAGTTATTAGACTTGGTGAAAATACAGAAAGAAAAACGTAAATAGCATATTGTATACCGTTATTCTTTTTTTTTTTCATTTCTATTTTTTTTTTATTAAAAATTATTATTATGCGCATTTAGTCCTTTTTTTTTGGCTAATATTGGAATTGATGGTGATAAATTGGCACAGGATTTAAATAGCATCAATATATTTAATACTTTTGAACCAAGAATTGTTTTATCAGACACCGATGTTGAAGTAAGATTATCCATCCTCTTGAATCTTGAAGATGATTGATTAGAATTTTTGATTGACCTTTTAATTAACATACTATTATGGATCGAATGTCAATACTACCACTGATATGAAATTATTATTATTAAAGAAGTATCTTGACCATAATCATCAAAAGGCATTTACTGAGACTATTAAAGATGGTCATACACAGGTTTTTTTCAAAATTAAAAATTATTGTAATAAATAAAATTTCAAAAAAAAAAAAAAATAATATAATTATTAATCAAATTTTAGACAATAAACGAATGTAATTCACTTTATGACAAATTGCTTATTAAAGATTGGGCAAATACAAAAAAGCAAGCATTCGGAGAACTTGGACAATTCAATGTCAGCAGTTCGAGTTCAAGTCAAATAGTATGTACAATTTTTTATATAGATGTTTATATATATGTATATCAGCAAAGATTCTTTTGAGCATTTCAATTAATGCGATCGCTTTTGCTACTCCGCTTACATATTCCCAATTAGCAACGATCATATATTCCTATAACAGGTCATCATTCTTCCATCAAATCAACAATAAATTTAAATCAACGTCACATGGTTTATTTCGATATTGTTGTAAAATTGAATGATTCTAGACTATTTGATCGTGATTATGGTGTTATTTCTGAATTTTTCTTGGCATCAAAAAAAATTTCAATGGATTATGTATGTGAATTCATTTATTTATTTTTATGTTGATATATAATTTGACATTAAAAAAAAATTTTTTTTTTGCTTTTATAGAGTAAGAAACTTATTGATTGTTGGCAAGCACTTAAACACATTGTTGGAGAACATAATGTTATTGAAGGAACATTTAGACGAAACGCTTTGAAGCAACGGTGTTTCGCTCAAGTATATGAAACACCACTTCAAAATCCTTTATATAAAGAATTATGCAAATCTTTTATAAATGGTGCCAAAAAATATTTAGAAGAAATGTATCCAATGATAAACAATAATTCTTTTTTGTTGATTGTAACTTGATATTACATGTATATTTGATCCTTAACTAATCAATTGAATAGATATTGTACTTGGTCAAGGGATATGATAGATTCTTTTAGAAATGAAGCAATGATGGGGGGTCAACCATCAGCTATTAACAAGATAGTAGAAAATAATATCCCTATATGGGGCTTGTTATATGTTCTTATGAGACAAGGTCATTACGATCATGCATTGGAAGCAATAGAAAAGTATGCAAGATACTTTTTAGTAGAAGATTCACTGTTGTTGACAAATTTCAAACGTTTTGTTTCAAACAATAATAGGTATATTAATATTTTTATTTTTATTTCTATTAATTTAATTATTAAATTAAATATAAAAAAAAATACATGGCTTTTTTACTAATTAAATCTACTAATGCTTTTATTTTAGACTTACATCAAATGAAAGACAAGCTTTTATTGCAGAAATAAAACTAAAACCAAAATTAACAGTTCAAACTCAAGACCTTTACAAATCACTTATATATCAGGTAGTAGCACAATTAGAAGAATTGCCTCAAAAACCACCAATCTACATAGTTTCTCCTTCAACAGAAGATCATTTGTGGTTGAAGGTAATTTAATTAATTAACTAATGTCTTGATTTAATTGTTTATTATAAATTTCTTTTCAAAGTCATCGTCATCCATCGTTATTATTATTTTAGTTATGTTGCATTCGAGAAATCGAATCAATTCAGGATGGATCGAGTGATACTGTGACATTAAGTGGTTTTCAAAAAGAAATTTCGACCTTTGGACCTAATTACTTTACTTCAAATGGAAAAGATCCTATACAATACTTTCGTGCTTTATTACTTTCTCTTCAATTTGAAAGGGTAAGAAAAAATAAAATCGATTAATATAATTTTTTTTATTTGATTCAAAATATTTGATTTTGCATACATATATAGGCAATAGATTATTTATTGCAAACAGATTATAAGGAGGACGCTGTACATTTTGCTATCACTCTTGCGTATTATGGATTATTAAGAGTACCGGAAGATGGAGAATCTTTAGCACTATGTATGTATAATTATTATTCTAAAATTTTTGAAAAATTTGTTAAAAAAAAAAAATAGATTTATTAAAACTTTTTTATATTAATCACAAGTTTTTGAAAAAAAAGAAAATGATAGTAACCAAGTAGTTGCTAAATTTAATTTCAACAAACTTATTGTACAGTATGTTCACATGTTGATCAGTGATCATGATAATATTGCGACTCATTCACTTCACTATCTTCTTTTACTGTATCTGTATGGTAATCATCGTGATGATTTTGGAAGATACCAAATAGAAATAAATCATGATCACATGAGACATCTAGTGCTTGAAACAAATGCAGTTGGTGAACTTATTGGTGATGCTCAACAAACTGAAGTAATTATCATCACAATCATAATCATCATTTATCAATAATCTATTTAATTTTTTACGAATTTAAACGAAAATATTGAAAAATAGGGCCTTATGAGGAAATACATGAAATTGATGTTTATAAACGATGAAAAAGAATTCAAAGAAAAAATCATAAATATGCTTGCTAGACAATTTTTTGATGATGGAAAATTTAATGCTGCAAGGCGTTTATATGAAATAACCGAGGTACTTGAATATTTTTATTAAAAAATTTTTTTTAATCTATTAAATATTTTTTACTTGGTTTTTTTTTTAGAATTACGAGGAATGTGTAGCTTTACTTAATAAAATACTTGCAGAATATATATGGATTGTCATGAGTGGAGTGCCGGTGCAACCAGATACAGAAATAGAATTTAATCCTAATGAAGTCGCTAGAATATCTAAAGAATATGAACAACTTCATTATACTAATAATGTCTCAGCTAACCTTTTGAATGACAATAAAACATTACTCAAACTAGTTGAATTTGTAGAACTATATAAACAACAAGATTATGGAAGAGCAGTGTCTGTAAGTGATTTATATTTAATAAAAAAATTTTATTAGTGTGTTCACATAATACTACTATTAACACTCAAATATGTATATTTCTCCTTTTTCTCTCTATAAATATAAATTTTATATAAAGTCAATAAAAAAAATAGATCTTTTCCCGTTTGTAGATGATATTAGTATTATTATGGAAAAAGCAAATGCAATTAATGGTATAGATGAATCGTTGAAAAAATCTATAACAGAGCTTTTATATATAACTATGAAGTGCATTGTACATCATCAACAACATTTAAAAGATCAATTGATACATGGAACACCAGGGTTAAAAATAGTTAATGATAGTGTAAGTAAATAAAAATAAAACAAATCAAAAAATCACCTCTTTTAAAAAGGCTCAATTAAAAATTTATAATATTATTAGGAATTATATGAACTTCAGAGAAATGCTAAAGCTCTTGTTACCTTTGCAGGTTATGTACAAAACAGGTATACAATTAATTATTTGATTTCTTTATATATATATTTTTTTTTTCTTCCAAAATCTAAACTTATTTTATGTAATTTTATTTTTAGTATTATCACGTCTGATATTTTTTATAAATTAAATGAATTAGAAGTGCAAATGAGATAAATAGAAAAAAATATAGATCAATTAATCAAATTAATCAAATTTTTATTTAATAATAAATAACTTGTTATAATAATATAATAAACAGTTACGAATTGAATAAAATAATAACAATAAAAGATAATAACAATAATATTATTACTAATCTAGAAAATTAATAGTCGTAATAAAAATATTTATTCATCGTCATCATCATCTTCTTCGTCAGCTTCTTTCAACCATTTTGCAAAAGATTTAGATTTATTACGAATATCTTCATTGATTTGAGGTGTGACATAATCAATGTTGAAAGTTCGTTTAAAGAGTTTTTTATATTTTTCAGTGTTTTTACCTTCGAACCAAACAACGAAAACGTCTTCTTCAAGTAAATCAGCACGATAATATTCCATTAAGATTCTACAAATTGTTTTAATATCAAACAATTCTTTACATTTCACGCCAACAAGAATTTCTGTACCTCCTAATAAAGCTCTTTGCCCATCCGCGTCTTTGATTAACTAAACAAGAAGAATAATAATTATTATTATTAAATATATTTTTAAAAAAAATCACAAATATTGCTTACTTTTTGAAACAATTTCTTTCGTTTATTAATGTGTTTGCCGATAGTTGTGCTTGTTTTAAAAGATTCGGCAAATAAGCTAAGTACAAGCTGCTTAATTATTTTGTCATTTTCGATATCGTTTTCTTTATCAATACCAAGTTCTTTAATCTTTTTGTAGATATCATTGTTAACGGCAGTCTGATTTTCTTCTAGCCATTCATCCAATTGATTAAAAGGTTCCAAATCCTCATCGTCATCCTTTATATCCTCGTCATCTTCATCGTCATTGACAGCACTAGTAATAAGAGTTGTTCGAATACCTTCTTCTAGTTCTTTAACACGTTCAGCAACAGCATCAGATGAAGTTTCTTGAGCCCATTCATCATCATCTTTTTGATCAGCGACAGGGAGTTCAGATGCCTCGGCTTGAATACGACGATAAAGTTCATCATCGGAACCTTCTTCTGAAGAACCTCTTGTAGAAGAAGAAGGTAAGGAAGGATCTGTTTCTTCGCCATTTTTCTTTGCTCTTCTTTCTTTTTTCGTAAGTTTACTGCTTTTAGGATTGACAGGTGGATTTTTCAAGATGAAAGTGACAAGTTTATGGCGCATATCGACATCAGTAAATTGACCACAAGCTTTACAATCTCGGATGATTTTTTGGTTAGCACCTTTTCCTTTAATAACCTATTCATTGTAATATATTTATTTAATAAAACAACGCAAATTCAATAATCATGAATAAAAATAACAAATAACCAAGTAGATGGTGACGATGAGATAACAGAAGCATCATATTTACCAAATCCGTTTCAGGATTACTACAACCAGCGCAAAGTACAAATTTTTTGATAAATAGATGAAGTAATTCTTGAAGTTTAGCAGCATCATGATTACCATTTACAATGTAACGATCGTGTGGTTCGTCAAATTTAACTTGGGCTCCAAGTTCACATCCAAAAAATTTAGTAGGATCTATAATTGAAATTGATTAATCAATAAATTAATAAATTATTTTTGTAAATAAAATATTTCACCCAAAAAGATTTTTTTAATACTTACAAGTTGGTGGACGACTTAAAGAACGAGCAATATCAGACATATTAGGAACAACGGTTTTGATTCCATTACCTTTACCTTCAACCTAATTAATAATAACAATAACAATAATGAAATTACTTATATACAACGTATTTATGCATGATATATAAAATAAATTAATTAACTAACTAAAAAAAACTACCTTTGAAATGAGTTTGGGCATTTTATACCGATAAAATCGGTCACTTTGATTACCGCCGATATTTAAAGTACTCATGATTACAATATATTATTGATATATATTTTTTATTTAAAAAAAAAAGAAAGTAGTATTTTCAACAAAATAATAAGACAAGGTAATATTATTGATGCGAGTCATTAACTCTTTAGTTTTATGTTTTTGAGGGCGTTTTCTATGAACGTTAGAACGATGCTTTGAATATTTACTATTTTCAAAAAAACAAATCATGAAGTAGTGAAATGTGCTTTTATGTTTTTTTTTTTTAAAGATTATATATATTAATAATAAAGAATAATGTCCCAAACTTTTAAAAAAAAAAGTTAAAAAAAAATTTTTAAGAAAAAAAAATTGGGTTGATATAAAAAAAAATTTTTTTTTTTTATATCATAAGATTTTATAAATCGTAATACCGCAGTATTATCCACATTTGTAAAATGGACAAGAAATAAAGAAAATTGTTTGAATCTATTACTATTACTATTACATTTATAATTTATGTTTTGAATCAAATTATTTTTTTTCAATGGCTAATATTTCATCCATAAAAATAGAATGAATAAAATAGATAGTAATATTAATATATTCTTATTATCCCGGGAAAGAAGTTTCCGGGGTTCAAATGCCACAATTTTTTAATATTAATATTAATATAATACAATTTCTTTCTTCAAGTAATTCCTTTCTGTATCCCATCTTCTGGGCACAAAAGGAAACCATTTTGTTCTTTCACGCTTAGGAATAATACATAATAATAATAGTTGACACAATTCAAGTCATCCGTTTCAGGCTTGGCCATTTTTACAATATTAAAACCCCTCGGTTAAGTTTTTTTTGAGCCTCTCTCATTTCTGCTATATATATCTTTTATTTGACTTTTTTGTATGGTACTTAGCAATGGCTTTTTCATAGAATGTTCTTTTTTCTTGGGATGTTCTAAATTTGGTTAGAATTAAAAGCAGAAATTATAAATGCTTATCCATAATATTAAATACTAACACTTAATATTAAATACACGTTTTTTTAATAAAATATTCAATCGGCAATTTTCTCTTTTTCAAAGAAGAAATATTTATTATTTATTATAAATTTTTTTATAGCTCGTTCTGTTTGTTGTTTTATTATGGAATCGCCACCATTAAAGAATAGATTGTGGGAACGTTGTAACCAAGTATAACGAAACATATCAGTTAATGGTGCCGAAGAATCTCGGAGTCGTAGCTGGTGCTAATTCAAAATTTGATGTGGAATACAGAGAAAAACCATAGAAATTATTATTACAGAAAAAAAAAATCATTTTTCATTGAAGCCGGCGGCGTTGAACTTTTCGTTCTAGCTTAATTGATCATTTGGTTTTTAATGACCTGGGAAATGATAAACATTACGTGTTTTCATACAATCCCATTATATGCATTAGATAGATAGATTATTTCTGTAATACTTGATGAAAAAAAAAATCGAATGATTATAAATTAAAAAGCGAGCAAAAATATGAAAGTCAAAGATAAGGCCGCAAAAAATTTATTAAGCAATCGGGGGAAAAAATGAATATATAAAACGGCTGCAAGGAGAACTGCAAAAAAAAGTCAAAAGAGACGAGCAACTAAAGAATGTTATTAACTTTCTTGGAGGAAGAAAAAGAAAACAGCCCAAAAGCGAAAATGCTTTATAATAAAGTTAAAGAACCAGAGAAGCAGAAGCCTGGAATAGATAAGCAAGAAGAAATTATTTAGCATCCAAGAGAAATAAAAGCTGAAATGAGGCAAATTGAGTTAATCCAAATAAAAATAAGTCAAGGCTGAAAAGTGAAAGAAGAATAAATTCAGCATGGATTTATACTTTGAATTAATTGTTCACTCTGCCTTATTATTTGAATAATTGAAAATAGGATATTCCAATATTTAATGATATATATAAGATGGCCTTTAATCAAATACTTTCGTGATTTTATGTGATTATTAGTGTGATAAGTTTGTAATATTATCCAAAATTGGGAGAATGCAAAGACACTAACACTAACACCAGTACTAGACTTGGCAATTGGCGCCAATTAAATAAATGCAAAGTTTCGTAAAACACCGTCATTGCTATTTTTGTACACTGTGTAAAAAAAATACATAAGAACTTATTTTTATCAAAAAAAAAATATTAAATTATTATTTTTTTAATAAAATACTTTTAATAATAATGGCCGTCCCACAAGAGCCTTCATTTAATGAAAATGAAAACGATCCTCAAACTACTACTGCCAAGAACTCTTCTCCTTCTAAACAAATAAAGCCCATTTCAACACCAAATTCTCAAGACGATGGATATAATTTATCTGTAGTAGTAACAACTTTGGATAAAAGCCGCCGAGAACCAGTTTTTAAATTTAAAGCCACTGTATTTATTTGTTTAATTAATTATTCATGATCGTGAATTTTGCATTTATACATGCAAACTAATTAAAATTCTATTCTTTGGGGGAATAAGACAAATTTACCTAAATACAAGCAAACAACATATTCTTCCGTAGAACGTTCATACATCGAATTGGAACGTTTGTATAATTCGTTATCTTATTCTAATCCGGAATGTATTGTTCCGGCATTACCTCATCCAACAACCAGTTATCAAGCAACCGAAGAAGATGAACGTAGAGTTAAATCTGCAATGCAATTATGGTTTAATAGAATATCATCAAATCCTGTTTTACGTAACGATAAAGAACTTAGATCCTTTATAGAGACAGATTTTGCTGTATGGGTTTTTTCTTAAATATTACCAATTAATCATAATTTATATATTAAATGTTGTGTTTGTTTGCTTTTGACAGTTTGTACCGTCAACTAAACCACGTAGAAGAACTGGTCCATTTAGATTTGGATTTTCTTCAGATATAAGGGATGATGATATGAAATTGGCAGAAGCAAAGTCATTAGCAAATATATTTGAAAATCATTTTTTTGATAATGCTAAATCTGTTCAGAAATTGGCTAGATATAGAAAAGGTAATAAATATATCTATATCTATAATATATCTATATATATAGTATATTTTTTTTCTAAATGTTATTGTATTTTTAGGACTATCAATATATAATTCAGATCTTGGATCCAAGTTTGCTGCCATGGGCACAGTTGAAAAACATCCACCATTAGCACAGTATGTATTTATATATTTATATCCTTGTTTATTATTTATATATTATTATTATAATCGTTTTATTAATAAAATTATAAATTCTAGTGGCTTACGAAGGCTAGGAAAAACGCTTCAAGTAGTTGGTGAATTACAACAATTACAGGCTGTTAGTGAAGCTGCTGCACTAGGAGATTTCTTTAGTTATTATGCTATGAACTCACATGCAGCAAAGGTTTGTTTATATATATATAAATTTTTTTCCATATATTTTATATATTATTTAAACTAGTTTTTGAATTATAAAATTAAATTAACAGGAGACTTTATCAAATCGACTTAAAATTATCTCGGAACATGATGATGCAGTAAAAACTACTATAAGTAAACGTCGTTATATTGAAAGATTAAAATCTTCAACATCAATTAAACAGGAAAATGTTGACGAAGCATTAAAAGATTTAGAATATGTATGTATTTATAAAATTTATTTATTCATAGATTATTATCTTTTTAATTTTAATTTTTCTGTTTTTCACAAAAATAAACTTTTTTATTTCGAAGGCTAAAAATTATGAGCAAAATCTTGATGCAAGAGTAAAACGAGTTACCAAAAAACTTCATAGTGAACTTGAAATTTATGAAAATAATAGAGCTCAAGATTTCATGGCAGCAATTCAAGAATATATTAAGAAACAAATTTTATTTGAAAAACAACAATTAAAAGAATGGGAAAAATTAAAGCCTGATGTCGATTTAATCACAAATAAAAATATGGTTGTTCATATTTATGAAAAAGAAGAACTTGATCCTCGTGCTATTGCCGAGAGACTTAGTACTTTTGGTTAATAATTAAAAAAATGTAATTTGTAAAAATCAAAAAAAAAATCAACTTAATAATTTAAAAATTTTTTTTAATTGGGAAATTTTATTTTAATATACTATATATTATCTATATTATTTTGTATATTTTATTTTTGTAAATTTATATTATTAGATAATAATAATAACAACCATTATATATTAAAAAATTACGTATGTGAAGTAATAAATTAGGTATTATTGTTATTATTATTATTATCATTATCAATCATTATTATGATTTGCATACTAATACAACAAAAAATTTTATCTTAATAAAAGTTTTCATCTTTGGAAAATATCACACTCTTACTAAATAATCTCACTAATTCTAATCAAGATGTTCATCATTAAAATATATTTACAAGCTTATGAATGATTTAAGAAATACTCGGACTTTTATGATATGGAAGTTGAAGTTGGAGCGGATGATGTAAAGTTCATTCCAATATTTTAAAGGCAAGGTCTTTTTATTTTATCAAATAATTGGGCTAAAAAATCCAAAGATGGCCCTATCATTCATTTTATTTTATTGAAAAATATTTTCCCTAAATACTTTTAACATAAAATTAAATCATTTGGTAATTCTGCTAGTTAATCTTTTAATATTAATATGAGACATGCTTTGCAACAAAATGAACATTGATATTACCAAGATTTTCAGAGTTCATTAAAAAATAGAATTGCGATCACGCACATTTACAAGAAAATTAACATTTCTTCTTCAAGAATAAAGGAAAAAAAAAATTATAAATAAGCAGATAAAAATTCAAATAAAAATTCTTTAATAGACAATATCAAAAATCATCATCATAAACTCTTTGGGGTACTCGATATAAGCTGATTAACAAATCTAATTAATGAATGTCATAATAATAATTATACATGAAGTCGAAACTGATTTTTAGCCTCAAGTCGAAACATTTCGACTTTGGGGTTTAATTTCGACTTCATGTATAATAATAATGTAAATCAATATATGCGGATTTTTTAATGGTATCCCAATTTTTTCCTCTAAAAAGGAAACAGTGTAACAAAAAACTCAAAGTTTTTTTATTTTGAAAGTTTTAGAAACCTTTCAAGCAATTTAATTGCAGGAGATATCTATAGAATATATTATTTCACATAATTTTTTTTGGGAATAGATAAAAATATTACAATGAAATTGTATTTTGAATGAGTTTTTTCACGCCATTGGTATTTTTACATCCATTAAATCTTTCCATAGCTCTAATCTATATTACATATACTATCTTGCACGCAAATTTGGTGCCAATATCCTTGAAAATGGAGAAGGAGTAGTGGTTTGAAAACAACGTGTTTTATTAGTATTACGAACTTTCAGTCGAACGATTTGTCACATTAAACGATTGGGAAGTGTATTTTCCGAAATTTTTTGGTGATCAACGTCGAAATTCTA